TTAATCATTAGAATGATGTCAGGTGTAGGGTTTTTGGTAGATGCTAGATGCTATTTATTAAGTTGAGGTAATTCTCCTTTATTCTTAATTTCTCTCTATTTTTATCATGAATGAGTATGGTATTTTGTCAAACGCTTTTTATGCATCAATTAATATGATTTTTCTTCTTTTGTTGTTGACATGGTGGAATATATTGATTGATTTTCAAATACAGATCTAACTTTGCATACTTGGAATAATCCCACTTGGTTTTATTGTTTTTATGTATTATTGAATTAATATGTTGATATTTTATTGAGGTTTTTTGCATCAAACTTCCTTAGCTATATTGATCTATATTATTATTATTTGTACTGTCTTTGTCTGGTTTTGGTTTCAGGATAACATCAGTATCAGAAAATGAGTTGGGAAGTGTTCCTTCCTTTTTTTTTTTATTATCTGGAAGACATTATGTAGGATTGATTTAAATTTTTCTGTAAATGTTTGATAGAATTCTTCTGTCTAGTGAAAACTTTTGTCTTGGAGATTGCTTCCTCCCCCTCTTTTGGTAGATTTTTAAATTTTGAAATCAATGTCTTTAATGGTTATAGGACTACTCAGATTGTTAATTTTTGTTGGATGACTTTTGGTGGTTTGTGGTTTTCAAAGAAATGGCCTATTTCTTCTAAGTTGTAGAATTTATTAACATAAATTTATTTATAGTGTTTTCTTATTATCTTTTAATGACTACAGGATCTATAGTACTATCTCCTGTTTGTGGGTTGTGTCTTTATTTTGGTCAGTCTTGTTATAGGATTGTCAGTTTTATTAGTTGTTTTCATAGTACTAGCTTTTTGCTTCATTGATTTTCTCTATTCTTTTCCTATTTTCAATTTCATTGATTTCTGCTTTTATATTATTTCTTTGTTTGGGATTTATTTAGATTTATTTTTCTCTACTTCCCCTAGATTCTTGAGGTAGGAAATTAGGCCTTTTCTTGTTTTTAATGTATTTGGTGCTATAAATTTTCCTCTTTAGTGCTTTGACTGCATCCTACTATTTTGAAATATTGCATTTTTGTTTTCATTTCTGTTCTGTGTTTTTATTATTTTTTAATGTTTATTTTTGAGGGAGAGAAAGAGAGAGAGAGGCAGAGAGAGAGAGTCAGAGCATGAGTGGGAAAGGGGCAGAGAAAGAGGAGACACAAAATCCAAAGCAGACTTCAGGCTCTGAGCTGTCAACACAGAGCCTGACATGGGATTTGAAGCCACAAGCCATGAGATCATGACCTGAGCTGAAGTCAGACACTTAGCCCACTGAGCCACCCAGGCATCCCCAGTTCTGTGTTTTCATTTTTTTTTTTCCCCCAGTTCTGTGTTTTCAAACATAATGTCCTTTGATAATTCCTTTTTGACCCAAGGATTATTTAAAAGTTTGAAGAGTTTTGTCTTTTGTTATTGACCTTTGTCATCAGGAGAGAATGTACTCTGTATGATTTAAAAAATTTTTTTTAAGTTTTTTTACTTTTGAGAGAGAGAGAGAGAGAGAGCACAAGCAAGGAAGGGGCAGAGAGAGTGGGAGACACAGAATCTGAAGCCGGCTCCAGGATCTGATCTGTCAGCACAGAGCCTGAAGCGGGGCTTGAACCTATGGACCACGAGATCATGACCTGAGCTGAAGTCAGATACTTAACTGACCAAACCACCTAGGCGCCCCAACTCTGTATGATATTAATTCTTCTGAATTTGTTAATGTTTGTTTCATTCCCCAATATATGGACTGTCTTAGTGAATGCTCCATGTACATTTGAAAAAAATTGTATTCTACTGTTGTTACGTAGTATGTTGTATACAAGTCTATTGGGTCCTCTTGGACCCTTCATTCTATCTGGTAGTGCCATCAATTGCTGAGAGAGGCAGTTCAAACTGTCAACTGTATGTGTGGATTAGTGCATTTCTCCTTTCTTTAGGATCATTATTTCTTTTTGGTGGATTGATCTTTTTTTAAATCAATATGTAGTGTATTTCTTTGTCTCTAGCAATTTTCTTTGCCTAAAGTCTACTTTATTAGACATTAATAAAGCTACTGCTGCTTTTCTAAAAATTAATGTTTATATGATATATCTATTTCTATCTTTTTGTTTTCAACCTGCCTATGTTATTAAATAAGAAGAGAGTTTTTTAAAGCTTCATATAGTTGGATCATGTTTATTTTTCCATTCTGCTGATCTTTATCTTTTGATTAATATATTTGGGCAATTTATACTTAGGTGATTATTGGTATGTTAGTACTTAAAAGTGTCATTTTATTATTTGTTTTCTCAAGTTTCTGATCTTTTTTTTTTATTCCTTCCTTATGGGTTACTCGAACACTTTTTTAGGGTTCCAACTTGATTTGCCGTTAGTATTTCAGTGTATCTCTTTGTATAGTTTTTTTTTAATGGTTGCTCTGGGTATTAAGGTATACATATGTAACTTATAATAGTTGACTTATATCAATATTGTACTATTTTCAATAAAGTGTGGAAACCTCACTTCTATTTAGTCCTGTTTTCTTTCTCCTTCTGTGCTTTTAGCTATCATTTTCTTATGAATCAGGTGTTACAATATTTATTTCAGTTATCAAATATGATTTATACAATTCATGAGGACAAGGATTGTCTATTGTGTGTCTATTCTTCCTGTTGTTCCTTCTTCCTTCCTGATTCTTCTTCTTTTTTTTTCTTTTTCTTTTGTATCTTATTTATTTTTTATTTATTTATTTTTTTTACAAATAGCTTTTTGTCAAATTAGTTTCCACATAACACTCAGTGCTCATCCCCAAAGTGCCCTCCTCCATGCCCACCCCCCCTCCCCCCCACATCCATCAGTCCTCAGTTTTTGTCAGCATTCAAGAGTCTCTCATGGTTTGCCTCTCTCCCTTTCCCCCACCATTTCCCCCCTTCTTCTCCCCCTTGTTCCTCCGTCAAGTTCCTCCTAATCCTCCTATACGTGCAAACATATGATATTTGTCCTTCTCTGCCTGACTTATTTCGCTCAGCATAACACCCTCAAGGTCCATCCATGTTGCTACACATGGCCAGATTTCATTGTTTCTCATTGCCATGTAGTATTCCATGGTATAGATAAACCACATCTTCTTGATCCATTCATCTGTGGATGGACACTTAGGCTCTTTCCATGTTTTAGCTATTGTGGAGAGTGCTGCTATGAACATTGGGGTACATGTGCTCCTATGCCTCAGCATTTCTGTATCCCTTGGGTAAATTCCTAGCAGTGCTATTGCTGGGTCATAAGGGAGTTCTATTGTTAGTTTCCTGAGGAACCTCCACACTGTTTTCCAGAGGGGCTGTACCAATTTACATTCCCACCAACAGTGTAGGAGGGTGCCCGTTTCTCCACATCCTCGCCAGCATCTAGAGTTCTCTGATTTGCTCATTTTAGCCACTCTGACTGGCGTGAGGTGGTATCTCAGTGTGGTTTTGATTTGTATTTCCCTGATGAGGAGGGATGCTGAGCATCGTTTCATGTGTCTGTTGGCCATCTGGATGTCCTCTTTGGAGAAGTGTCTGTTCATATCTTCTGCCCATTTCTTCACTGGGTTGTTTGTTTTTCGGGCGTGTAGTTTGGTGAGTTCCTTATAGATTCTGGATATTAACCCTTTATCTGATATGTCATTTGCAACTATCTTTTCCCATTCTGTTGGTTGCCTATTAATTTTCTGGGTTGTTTCCTTGGCTGTGCAGAAGCTTCCTGATTCTTCTTCTATTATTTCTCCTATCATTTCCTTTCACTTTGAAGAAATTTCTATAGCCAGTCTTTAAAGATTGGCCTGTTAATGATAAATTATTTAGTTTTCCTTTATTTGAGAATGTTTTTATTTCTCTTCCACTTCTTTAGAATAAGTTTTGCTGTGTGTGGAATTCATGAAGTTCTTTTACTTCAGCACTTGAAACATATTATTTAAATTTTGTTTAGTTTTTTGGGTCTGTAGGCTTATGTTTTTTGACAGATTCGTGAACTTTTCAGGTTTTATTTCTTCATCTATTCTTCAGCTTTAGCCCTGGCCCATTCTGCATCTGTTTTTCTTATGAGACTTTGATGATAGGAATGTTGAACCTTTTGTCTCATACGTCTCTGAAACTCTGCTCATTTATTCTTTTTAAATCTATTTTCTCCTCTTTGTTTTTATTAGATGAATTCTATTGTTGTGTCCTAAATTTCACAGATTTGAGCTTTTTCATCTCTGTTCCACTATTGAGACTATCAATACTACCCCTTCCTTTTGCCTAATTTTCATTTTTATTGTTCTATTTTTCAGTCTTATAATTTCCATGTAATTCTTTTTTATCTTTTCTTTCTTTTCTTAGATTTGTGTTTTCATTTGTTTTAAGAGAATTTATAATTGGTTGTTGAAGCATTTTTATGATGGCTGCTTTAAAATCCTTGTCAGATAATTCCAACATCTGAATAATATCATTTGTGGCATCAGTTTATCATCTTTTTTCATCTGAGTTGTGATTTTCCTAGTTCTCATTATAGCGGATGAATTTAAGTTGTATTCTGGACATTTTGTCTGTTGTCAGGAGTCTCTGGGCCTTATTTAAATCTTACATTTTAGCAGACAGTTACCCTTTTTAGGTTTAGCACAAGAGTTAAATTATGTTTGTGAACCGCAGTTTAATTTTCGGAGTATTTCAATGTTATTTTGATGTGCTTGGTTTTTCTGATTTCATGGAAGTCTTACTGGTCCCTGCTGGTGTGTCCTGAGAAGTGGAGGCAGTTTCCAAGGCCAGCTGATACATGTCTCTCAGGAGGACAGTGGTGTGGTGGGACCCCTGCATTTGTGTCCCAGGCTGCCCGGGTGTGTCTGGGCAGAGCAGGACAGTCCCAGCTCTTTGTGATAGACTGTTCTCAGCTGGCCCTTGAGGTGGTGGGTCCTCTCTGGTTCCACTCCTGCTCAGGTGTGTTTCCATAGGAAAGGGGCATCTCAGGCCTGGCAGGAAGGAAAGACCCCTGGCCACTGCTATCCAGCAGGGCTCCAGTGGATGTCTGCCAGTGGTTCACCTGGTGCTGTCAGAGAAACCTTGTTTCATCTGGAGGGTAAGCATACCTAGACATCCACTGTCACTGGGTGGAAGCTGAGGAGCACTATGCATGGTAGCCTTCCTCCACTGGGTGGGGACTGAGGCCAAGTGCTGTGCTGCTTTCCAACCTTAAGTCTACCCTTCCTTTTGCCTTTTCCCAGTGTCTTCCTGGGATTTCCTGGTTCATCATCCCAGGGTTTGTAGTTGTGCTTAGTTGGGGGTAAGGTAAGGAGGATGGGCCTATTTCATCTTGTTTCTCCCTCCCACATACGTATATCATATATATGATATTCCACATATGATATCTATAGAAAGATTATATCTCTATCTCTGTATCTATAATTTATATATAATCTCACCCTCTTGTCAGTCAAATCATTTAGTGATTTATTTCAGTTTCCACCATACAGTACAGTAGTATGGTTGAGAGCCTAGTCTAGGACCTAAACTCCATTGGTCTATGCACATGACCTTGACTATCTGTTCTTGGGCTTGGACCTTGCTTCCAGAGATACAGTGCTCTGCATGCCCATTCCCTAGGCTAGTCTAGATTTATAGGTGTTGCCATGGTGCAGTCATTAACAATGCCTTCTCATTTCCTGAAGGGCTTTGCTGTGGATAAGAGGAGTTCTGTGGTGATCCTATTCAATGGGCTATTGTGAAGAATCAAGGAGCCAAACTAGGTAAGCTGTTTGGCACATTGCAAGGCCTTATAAATGCTACCTACTACTATTATTTTATTTTTTATGTCATAATAAGTGTACTCTTTAATCTCCATCATCTCTTTCACCCATCCCCCCAACCACCTCCCCTCCAGTAACAATCAGGACACTTGGGTGGCCTCAGTCAGTTAAACCTCTGACTTTGGCTCAGGTCATGATCTCATGGTTCGTGAGTTTGAGCCTGGCATTGGGCTCTGTGCTGACAGCTTGGAATCTGTAATCTGCTTCAGAATCTGTCTGACTGTCTGTTTCTTTCTCTCTGCCCTTCCCTAGTTCATGCTCTATGTGTCTTTCTCTCAAAAATAAATAAACATTAAAGAAAAAAAGAGTATGTTTCTTGGTCTGTCTCTCTGTTTTTTCCCTTTGCTCATTTGTTTTCTTTCTTAAATTCCACGTATGAGTGAAATTATATGGTATTTGTCTTTCTCTGACTTTTTTCACTTCTCATAATACTCTCTCCATCCACGTCATTGCAAATGGCAAGATTTTACTCCTTTTAATGGCTGAATAATATTTCACACATATTGTTATTATTAGATGAATTTTTCTTTGTGTAGTATGCATATGTTATATATGTCTTACAGTCAACCACTTATTAAACATTAAGAAAGTGCTATTTCCTTAGTTTATTTTAGTAACTAGAAATATAAATAAAAGTACCAACCTGTCCTTTCACACCCTGGGTGGGAGGGCTGTCTAGTGTGTGCCCAGGTGCTCACTCCCCGCCAGCCAGCTCCAGGGGGAGCATCAGGAGTCAGATACCAGCTGGTGAACATGGTCAGATAGTGAGTGGATAGATACATAGACGCAGGAGGGCTAGATGACTTTTAACTGAGAATAATGTACCATGATAACTGAGGGTGTTGATTTTGATATTTCTCCCCAGAAACTTCACGCTGCCTTTGTTGTTCCCAGGCTGTTATTCTTGAGATAAGCAGAGAGGAGTAGTGCTTTGCCCTCAGGCTGGCACTCAGATATCTGGCTGTTGGACAAAGTTGGGCAAAACTTGTTCTATTAATTGTAGACAGGCAAGAATTAAAGCTGTGAGGATGAAATAGAATGGAATACAGAAGGTTGTATCTGTTGTTTATGTGTGATTTCCTATGATTAATATTATTTAATCTTTCATAATTCAGTATAGCAACAAGTTAGAGCTGTATTCTTGGGCGTAGGCAGTTTTGGGGGGTGGGGGAAGATTTCATGCTATTCATTGATTCATGAATGTTTCCCTTTTTGCAAAATGTGTTTGGACTTTGTTCCACTTCTGTCTTGTTCAGCATCCAGGCGTTTTTAATAGTGGCAGAAAAGTGTTTCTTGGTGGTCCCGTTGCTTTTTGATCACATTTTTGTTTTAATGTGTGCTACAGTGGAGCAGTGTTGCTTATGCAAAGGTGTTTGTCTTACCTGTATTTCCCAACACTATGGATATTTGGAGAAGATTTACTGGACATTAGTTTCCATTTATTGTTTCAAAAAAGATTTTGTGTTTCCAGCAAACTGCTTTTAAAAAGTTCATGATACAATTCCTTTTTGCGATTCAGGGAGTGAATTGAAGAAAAATTACTAGATTGTATTAGAAATTACCTTTTTTGGGGCACCTGGGTGGCTCAGTTAAGCATCTGACTCTTGATTTCGGCTTAGGTCATGATCTCATAGTTTATGCAATTTAGCCCTGCATTGGGCTCTGTGCTGACAGAGTGGAGCCTGCTTGAGATTCTCTCTGTTTCTCTCTCTCTCTCTCTCTCTCTGCTTCTCTCCTACTTGTGCTCTCTTTCTCTCTCAAAATAAATAAATAAACTTAAAAGATTAAAGAATTACCCTTTTTGCTCTCTGCTTTAATGATTTTGGATATAATTTTTATTGCCCAATTTTTATTTGAATATTAATGTCCAGTTATACAGAAATCTTAAAGGAAATGACATTCTTTGTTAAACAATGCAGGAGTCAATGACCTGTCAACTAACTTCTTTCTTAAGCTTCAGTTACTTCAATTACATATTCCATCTATCTTTCAGAACAAAACCAATTAGCTCTCCTCCGAATTATCAGACTTAAAATTGTTTTAAGGAATGTTACTTTGTACCCAAGTGAGCTGAATCTACCTCAAAGCCCTTTAATAATATGATGTCCTAAATGTATTCATCAAGGATGGCAGATCTTATCTTTATAAATATGTTTCCTTTTACAAAGCACTGGAGACCTTTTCCACTCATGGAGTTATTTTAGTGTTATTACTGAGAATACATTTTACTGAGAGTACATATTATTGAGAGTACAATGGAATATGTAATTGAAGTAAAGAAAGATTAAGAAAGAGTAAGATATTGATTGAAAATCTAATGTTAGGACTGTATTTCTAATCTAGACAACTTTCCACATAACTCTTAAAATATTTTATAATATTTCTTTACCTGTTATATTTTTTCCACTAGAAAAATCAAGGTCATTGATTCTTTATTTCCATCATTCAAATGGAACATTCTATTGGCCAATGTTTTGGGGCACATTCCATCCCAATCATGCCAGTGCATTGCAGTTAATTTTAGAAGTGCACAGTATAATCAGGAAAAATCACTTATAGGTATACATCAAGTAATATGAGAGCAAAATGTTACGAGAGGCTGAGTTAAGTTACATAAAGAGGTGCTAAGAAGAATTTGTGGTGTCCAGATTAGAGGTGAATAATGCCACATCAGTTTTGAACATGACAGCACTCAGGCACCTGGGTGGCTCAGTGGGTTAAGTGTCTAACTCTTGATTTCATCTCAGGTCATGATCCCATGGTTCATGAGTTCAAGCCCTGCGTCAGGCTCCGTGCTGATAGCAGGGAGCCTCCTTGGGATCCTCTCTCTCCCTCTCTCTCTCTCTGCCCTTCCCCTGCTATCATGTGTGAGCTTTCTCTCTCTGTCTCTCTCTCTCTCTGTCTCTCTCTCGTTCTCAAAATAAATAAATAAACTAAAAAAATATAATGAACATTACAGCACTTGTGAAGGATGAAGCAATCTCTGTCAAAAGATAATTTTCAGAAAAAGGTGAAAGCCACATTCTCCTACAGCTATTAAAATGAACACATGTTGAAGACTTTATTTTACTCCTCATCAATGAAGGAACTAGACAGATGTTAAAAATAGTCTGAAGGAAAGTAACAACAACAGCAACAGCAACAACACAAATTTGTGTGGAATGAGTGAATTGAATTGCAAATGGAGGCAAAACTAATTTTTCCATAGGAATAGTGGAATCAGCTGAAATCTTACAGAACAAAGCAAGTTTTCCCATCCATCCTTTCTTTCAGCTTACAAAGATATGAGAAAAAGCTTGATGATAATGAACAAAGTATGAATCAGACTCTCTGGAAGGGTTTGCTAGAGACAATGCATCATTTTTCATTGAAGTTGAACTTTTTTTTCTCATTTCCCCTTGGGTTCATTCTGCCTCACTCCTTGACAAAAAAGAAGAGAATTAAATCAGGGAAGGAAGCCAGAATCATGCTTGTGTAATCTTTCAGCTCATAGGAACAAACTATGTATGTATGTATATACATATACATACAGATACACACACACATATAGTATATAAATAGTATATATACATATATATATACAGTTTCCAATTTACTTGATGAAGATGAACTTGAGTTATAGTAGGAATGTGCTTTTCATTAGTTAAACCATGTTATCACTCTTCTAGGACTACATGGGGGCTGTTACCACAGTACTTTTAAGTCCAGTGCATTACAGAACTAATCCTGCCTTCTGTAAAAAGATCAGAAACAACAAATCAGATAGGAACAAAGTTTAATAGAAAGAAGTGGTGGGGGATTAGATAAAATAGTACAATTCACATCTTGCATCAGAAAATGTTGACTGTAATCCTACATCCACTGGGGACCCCACACAGACCCCAGCCCTGGGTCCTGCTCTGGTCCTATACATGGTGTGGACAGGTGGTTACATACCAGCGAATCATCAAATATAAGAGCAGGGGATTATTTCCCTTGTTACAACCCTCTTCTCACTAACTGCTCCAGCATAAACTGGAGATTTTTGAGGACAAACTTAGAAGGAAAAACAATTTAAAACTGTCTCAAGAATTTAGCATTAGGTCAGCTTCTGAGAAGGAAAGAAATAGAAGAAAGTGTTGAATAACTAGTTTTCCTTTTTGGTAAGAAAAACATGGGCACACTTGAAATCAACCAATAGAACTTAAGAAAGTTTTGAGTCTTGTAAAAGGACAAATTTCAGCAAATAAAATGAGCTATTTGGGGGCAAGACCCACTGATGGTTCTACTTTGTCCAAGAGCATCTTGGTTAGCGGCTAAAGGCCATTTGGGGCTTTGTCATCCCGCTAAACTTACTAAATCTTGGTTTACTTAACTATGAAACGGGCATAATAATAGCTACCTCAAAAGGCTGTGAAATAAAATAATATGCCAGAAAGCAAAAGGCAAAAGCAGAATTGTTCAGTCATCAGTGATTCAGGGGGCAGTCACTATGATCGAACACACTTTAAATTGGAGGCTTTTCATCCAGTGGCTCTGCCTGGGCTTCATGCCAAGACCATGCCTGTCTGGGCCTTAATCTGAGGAGGAGAAGGGGAGGCAGTCTGACCCAGGGAAAGGACATAGACATTGGATGAGTAGGTGCAACTTCAGCTCCTGGCTTTGCTCCCCGCAGAGTGTCTAGGTGGGCAACTGGGCACTTCCTAAGGGTGCCATAGATATGGTAGCTCTGAATCGGAGATGATTCTGCCCCACTAGTAAGAATTCAGTATTTATTTCACAAGAACTAAACGAAGTCGCAGATTTAAGGGTCTTACTTGGTAAATGACGCAATATCATCTTTGTTACCCTTGTTATTGGTAACCCACCACTTCCCACCAGGCTTGAGTGGACCCGTGAGCTTTCCTCTGCTCACGGCCCTTGTGGCCTGTTCCTGGCATCTGTGGAGATCCAGCACAAGT